AGAAAGGCTGGGCATTTTTAATGCCTGCTGATTTTTGTAGGAGCAATTGGATGCCCATCTTCCTGTGTGTCTTACTGTAGCTAGTACTGCATTGCAGCGGGGAATCAGCAGTTACAAAAGATAAAGGATCCTCATCCCGTTAACAATGTTTTCATAAACAGAAATGTAGTTTTACAAAGTAACAAAAGGTAACTACCATTTGAGAGAAAAGGTGAGTTGTACTGTCATATGATTTTAGTGAAACTAAAATACACGTCTGTGATACAGCTTGTGCTGAATAGTTATGCTGAAAAGCAATGTGTTCCTAAATTGTTTGGAACAAAATGAGTAGCAAAAGTGCACTGTTTGTATGCTTTTCTTCCACTCAAATCAATTGAGTAGCCTACATGCAAAATATTATGTCAGTCCATTACTTTCCATCAAATAAAATAATAATTTAAAACTTTTAATTAATAAATAATAATAATAAAAATGTAATAATAACCCCCCCCGTATTTCTCGCACCTACATAATTTGTCAAATCGGCTTTGCATCTGCCAAGGTGAAAGCTCCAGTGAAGTCTGGGGAGCTTAGGGAAAATTTAGTCAAGCTAGAAGTAAAGTAGCATCGAACATAACTTTAGATTTAGGCAGGGTTGTGGCTTGAATGAATATGGAATGAACCTGATGAGCCACAGTGTGAACTGTTTAGGAAGAGGAGCATAGAGAAGTCAAAGGTGGTTTACTTCGGAACTTTCTGAATACAATAGCATGTTGCCTCCATGAAATTAACATTGTTCTTGTGCCATGTGGTAGCATCTTTGCCACAGAAGGTCCTGAACCACTGAATAGGTCCAAGGTCTTTTTCCATAAAGAGACCTAATGGGGATGAAGCATGCTCCTGGTGAACAGGCTGTTTTGTCTGTATGCTGATTTATGCTGATTGGTATATTAAAAAGTCTTGGCCAATGAAGTCAACGGCAGTAATCTGGGCAGGAACTGGACGGTAACTACATTCAGAGCCACTGGTTAAACTGTTGTAAACTGACACGGCTGTACCCTGTGAATGTGTCCCAGAGCCATCCAAGCTGCATTATGTTCCTGGGGCTGAATTTCCCTCCTCCTCCTTCTCCCATCCTCCACAGACACACACACACACACACACGAAAACCACCCACAAACCGTGAATGAGATGTTTCTGAGAGTAAAGGCAAGGAAAAATGCATTATTTTGCCTGTGTCAGCCTCTGGACGTGTTTCCGGCGACAGCCTGTCTACCCTGTCTTTGCAGGATACCTGCTGTGCAAGAGTGGGCCCCTTGCTGTCCTGGCTCTGGGCAAGCTCAGAGTTCATGAAAATTTGGCCTTCCACACAAACCCAATAGACACTTGATCCTATTTACGGTCCAGTTCTTTAACCAAGGAGTATTGAACCAAAATTATTTAAATATGTAATAGTTAAGGGAGGCTTGTAAGATTCTGTAAGTATTCTAACACAGACAGGCTTCTTATACTTTCAGAAGAAAGCTAAAGGAGTTGTTAGGTATTTTCGTGTAGCAGCTGAAAGTTTTGGATGGTTGGGCAGAACCCAGACCCATCTTCTAAAAAAAGATTGCTTTTTGTTCCCAAGGTCTTGAAATTATGCTGGAACAAGAAAACGGAAATAAAATGCATAGTATTCTGAAATTAGATGAGCAGTTTAATTATAAACAAATTAGCTAGTCATTCCTTGGAAGTCTGGGCAACGTGAATATGCCAGTTTGCTATGCAATAGCAGTGAGCCTTAAATTCGAAATCCTCCTACAGCAAACATCCTTTCCCCTCCAAAGGAAAGGACAGTTCTCACAAGCAAAGCAAAACATGTTTTAATGAAATGATTTTGCTGGACAGAACTATTCCGTAATTACTAAGCAGATGATGTTGTGATTAGGTCTCATTATCCAGAGTGGCTGTTTCTTGAGAAACTCTCTTTATGGGTGCAGTTCGTTCATGGCATGTTGTCTTACTGAATCACTCAGGGCTGCTAGTGCTCTATTAGAAGAAAAAGATCTAATTCTGTTGGTCAGAAAATGAGAGAAGTAATTCAAGCACTTTCGCTTTCACTTTTCTGTACCTTCCATTTTCTTTTGCTGTTTCCAGTCACCTCTGATACTAATACATGGTAATAAATCTGATAACAATTAATGAAGCTTTAAAAGTTCTCTGTCTTTAACATTTGTCTTCACCCTGGTCAGATCTGGGTACTCATGAAGGGGAAAAGATTTTATAATAATGCAGCAGAGTTTTGCCCCTAAATATCATTTTTCTAGGAAGGAAGACAGTTATGTATGCATCCCCACATGTTGAATGACTGTTTACATTTTGGAAAGGTCATAGAATTTGAAGCCTCAATCTGAAAGAGCATCCCCTAATCCTAGGGTCTTCTCTAGGGACTTTGCTGTGACTCATTTATTGTGCTTAGAATGGGCACGGTATCGTGCTGTTGGACGGAGAGCAAGCCGCAAGACTCAAAAGACAATAATCTTTTAGAAATGCATAGAAGCATATGGCAGACTTTCTTATCATAGTAACTCGGTGATTTTGACATCCAAATTCCCAGAGCTCCTCTTGGGGAATATTCACACCACCTTGTTTTAGGATTGCAACCAATATAACCATATTGGAATGCTGATCTCCATAGGCTTACTATATAGACTGCCTGTACCCATCTCACAGAGCAGCAGAGAGAGAGAGCAGCTGCTCCAGGGAGCTATTTAATGCATCTCAGCTTAGGCTTCTGTTCCATGCCACATCTTGGACTTGCCTTACTCCTTTCCTTTCCCCATCATCTGTGAAGGTGGCTGAGGACATTTTTTAATGAGGAGCCACATCTGTGAACTTGAAATGGCATACCTTGTGTTAGGTGGTAGGAACACTCCTGTGCGTTTTGGCATCTCTCTGCAATGCAACAGTTGGGAATAAGTGAAAAAAATCATAAATTAATTCATTGTAAGTAGAAGTTTCTCTGAAACTGCTAAGGACCCCATAAATTTAGTAGTTTTAGAAGAGATTAATAGGAAGAATAGGTGGGACAATACAAGTCTAAAGATATATGAAAAATTCAGTTTTCATCACCAGAGAATGATTTATAATGTAGGTCTCTTCACTTTGTATGTGGAGAGCTGTGTTCTGTAATTTTCTAAAAGTAATTTTTCCATAATTGTCAGTGCAGTTACAAGAGAGAGGAAAATACAAATAACATGCCAGCATTGCATCAAAACCCCCAAACAAACAGGAAATCTAAGTTTTCATTTTTATTGTGGAATTTTATATCATTTTTAGTTTTTTAAAATGTCAGCTCAAAGAAATTTTCACGTATCCAAAAAGCCATAAAAACCCAATCTTGCAATAAAATTTTTCACTTTTTCCTAATTCAGGTAAAGCAGAAAGCATTCTTAACCCCATTTTATATATTTCTTGACTTCCTTTTTTCAGTAATGATCCTGCATCATGAAATACAGATAAAGCAGAAGGGGTAGGGGTGTGTGTGGGTGTGTGTGTCTCTGCTTGAAGTTAATATTATCTCTGGAAGAAGGTCATGTTGGTAATATGAATTTTGTTATATTTTCCTTTTGATTCTGATTTGTTTATTCATTCTGAAACATTATTGTTCAATAAAATAAGCCATCTATATACAAACCTAAACTGGCAATAATTTAAATTGGAGATAATTTATAGAGGAGAAAAATAATTTAAAGAGGAGAAAATCCCAATGTAATGGTCCGTAACAGGATTAAGATTTCACTGACACTTAAGTTTTTTTACTTTCCTTTTTACATAAGATATTTGTAGTTTGGCATTGGGAATTATAATGGTGATTTGGCAAGGAGGTTATATCCAGTTTTATATTATTTTTCATAGCATTGTTGTAGATATTTTTTACTTTAAGAAGTACGCTTTGCAATCTTGGAAGAGTGGTTGGTGCAGCAGTTGTGTGCAGTTGTGTTTTAGTCATTTGAGGAGACTGGCTAGCTTTCATCTTTTGAATTTGAGAGCAGTTAAGCTAGTTCTTAATTGATTTTGGAGGTACCACAGTTTTGAGACCAGAAGAATGTCCTAATCCCTGAATTTGCTGACAAAACACGTGTTTGGAAACCTGAACCAAGAAATCAGTTTTAGTTGCTGAAGGGGGACTTCATGGGAAACATGGAAACTCTCAAAAGTCACTTGCTTACAGAAGTATGAGAGAATGATAGGAAAAAATCACAGCTTCCCTGCTTCTTAGAAGAGGGTGTTCAGGCAGTGAGAGATAAGGAGATACACAGTACCCGTTTGACAGTCCCAGCCTTTTTAGAAACTTTTTTATTTCTATCTTGCTGCAAAGAGGCTGCCAAAGATAACCGGTTGAAGAATTATCCCATCGTGAAGTGGTTATTCATTGTAATCTTCATGCCTGCAATAGTAACTCATGCTTGGCAGCAGCAGAACATAAGAAACCAAGTCCAAAGTCAATTAGCATGTTTTATTAGTATAGAATAAACTTCAGAGTTAACGGGAGTTACCTGTCATCGTTAAGAGCCTGATTTTCATCTGTGCTGAACATCTGGATGTTCAACTGAAATTAGCGGGGTTTGGGGGCACATAATGTCTTTGCAAAAGATGTGGGCAGAAAGGGGGGTTGGAGCTCACCACGCGCTCCCTGTGTGCCTGAGCACAGCTCAGAGGCAGGGCACCTAACCCTGAGAGCGCATGGGAGCAGCTCATGCAGTCCCTTGTTCTCTCTACTCAGATGCAAAAGCATTTGCCTCTTGTTCTTCCCTGGTCTGACACTGTGTCAGTTCGGGGTCATCACAGAAAACGGATTTTGTATTGTGCTGCTGACCGAGGCCTTTCCCCCTCCTCTTTCATTCCCTCTGCCTTGTCGATTCAGAAATGTGATTTAATATGTACTTCAAAAATGCAGTGGTTTAAGTTGTAGGTTGATATGCAAATAGTTAGCAATGGTATGCTTATTGCGACATTTTATTTTCTTTTTTCTTTCCTAGTGTAAAACTCTCTCTGGCGTCTGTGATCACATTATCTCTCTCTCTTCTGATCCGCTGGTTTCCCAGTCTGCTCATCTTGAAGTGATCCAGCTTACAAATATCAAGCCAAGTGAAGGGCTGGTAAGAAGTACGCAGTTAATCAAACCCATCATCCAGGATGAGAAAGTGAAGTTTTTAAAATAAGTTGTGTATATGGAAAGGAATAGGACACTTTAGCCTTTTTTATTTTGAAGTCTGAAAATAGTTTGATTTCTCATGCTAGTTTGGTTTCTCATGCAGTTGGGCCAACAGGGAAGTATTTTGTAAGGCTGACCGATGTATGCAAATAGTTTAGTGAAGAGGAAGAAATGAGCGAGAAGTTCTTGCCGTTTATACCAGCTTCTGAAAAATGGTTCAGATTGTTCTAGGATCTTGAAGTCTGAAGGGATTTAAATTACTAAGATCAACTCAACCAAGAAGTTTGCGTGGGCTTATGCACAAAACCTGTCAAATTCTGGAATATGCTTCATAGTATCTCTGGGATATAAAGCTATTTTATAAGTTATTCAAGGGCTCTATAGCACTGCTGAGAAGTAGCTTATTGAATTTTATTGCAAGAACTCTGCATGCTTAATCAGGTGCTTTTAAAGGCTCAGTGCAGCCATCCCACGTTTGTTGTTCAAGAGTTGACCACTGATCTTTTGTTTACTCAAGTATCCAACACCCACTGCATGGAATAAACCAACACTGATAACAATTACAGCTCTACAACTTTACATCACTAATGATATCTTGTCCCACAATCCTTGGAGGTAGTAGAAGGTGATCAGAACACAGCTAACCATTTTTTGCCTAATGAAATAGCTTTTGCAGCTTCTGACCAAGTTTATTCTCATTCCATTTTCTTGATTAAGAAGGACTACTGCTGTGCTCTTTGCAGCAGGTTTTTGAAGTTGTTTGGATGGTGTAGTTTTGGAGAGTATTTTGGTTTGTGGGTTGGTTGGTTGTTGTTGGGTTTTGGTTTGGTTTGGTTTTTTGACAAATTTGGTATGTCAAGGTATTTAGAGCAATTATACACTACATTAATTTTCCACTCTTTCGGCAAATCACAATTAAAATATGAGCAAAACCCCAAACATTTGGATGAGTAAATATTGCCCAATCCTTTGTTTTAGTCTGCTATTTGTTTTCCCTTCCTCCACTGGCCTTCTTTTTTATCTCTGAGTCCATTTCAGACTAGTCCTCCAGGATTTCAGCTTTTCACGGATTCTCTCCTCCCTCTCTTTCTCCTGTAATTTTATCTCTTCCACCAGCTCACTGCAGTCAACCTTTCAAAATCCTATCCTCTGCTGTGATGAAGAAATGTTTTTCCCCTTTGTCTCAACCAGCGTTTTTTTGGAGTTCTGTCCATTTTTATCTGAGCTCTTCCTTATTTTCCTTTGTGTCTTGTGACTGTTTTTTTTTCCCCCTCTCATTTAAGTCTTTCTGTAGGATGGTGTCAACCCCCAGTGACTGAAAAATGTTGAGCAGTATTTTTGTAAATAAGCATGTGTTTCGTGGGTCTGTTCCTGCTGGGTAGCTGATCAGATAGAGAACCTCTTTCCCCTCTGTGCCTCTGTTTTATACCCTCTGTCTGTCTTGTCTGTTTAAACTGGAAACTCTTAAGGCAGGGTTTTTTCTTTTAATATGTATTTGTGAACCAGCTGAACTTCATGCTGACTGAGGACTACCATGTGATTGTCATAAAAATTATTATATGTTATTTTTTAAAAATGGAAAATACCAGCTGCACAGTATACAAGCCTTAGAAGGATACAATGCTATTTTGATATGGTCAATTTTTTTTCCCCTTCATCCTTGCCTGTATGCCACTATTTTGTTGCCTCTGTATTGTGTTGTGTCCTCTAGATTGTGAGCTCTCCAGAGCAGGAGCTAAGGATGACATATTTGCGCCGGGAGGGTAAATATCATACCTTTCAGTTTGTTACAGTGCCAGTCTTACTAACAGATCATCTTTGTCAGGTTGCTCTTGGTGCTTTGTATGAAAGCTTTGCTTTTGGGTTGTTGGGCTTTTTTGTTTGTTTTTTAAACTATATCTTTCAATTAAGATACAGCAAATGCATATCAGTACCGCCCTGTTGAGTGCTAAGGGTGTCAGTTTAAGAATTGATGGTGGAGCTTGGAGCTGTGAATATCCTCTGCACATCAGGACCACTTGGATGAATATGAAGCTTGATAACTTCTGGACCTTATTCCAGGATTTCTGCAACGATGGAGGTGGAAAAATGGATTATTGTCACCTTTCTTGTAGATTTTTGACCTACATAATAGTTCTGTGCTGACTATACCAATTGCTAAATAAAATCTTCTATAAAGATGGAAAGACTTCAAGTAGAAGGAAAAGGACGAGGATGGCTGCTAACTGGGAAGATTTTTTTGTCACCTAGCATAAACAGAATATCTAACATGTCTCAAATTTAATATCTGAGAAGCTAAAGTAGATCAGGGAGAGAAAAAGGAAAGGAGAAGAGAAGGAAATAAGAAGTTTGGAAAACAATGCTATTTCCCTAAACTCATATGGTAACTACGAGACGGAGTTGAGAAAATGGTTGGAGTTTTTACAACTTAAAACACTTTGGAACACTATCAGGATGTTTTTATCAGCACAAATAGTTCCTTGACTGTGTTTGACCTCTTTTTTGTGTGGAAACATAAGTATCAGTCAGAGATGAATGTAAATTGTCAGACTAATACCTTAATGCAGAAGGAAAAGGTAATTGTGTTACAGGGTTTACAGTGTCTTACAGATATTAAAACTAGTCGACACCTATCAGGAAAACAGACCTGGCAAGCCGAAAATGTTGTTTGGGTGTGATGTGGGGAAACTCTTGTGTATTGGGTAAAACAACGTTATGGGTGGGTGGGTTTTGTGTATTGCTTTTTTTTTATTTTTTCTTCTTTTTTTTTACAGATATTAAAACTAGTCGACACCTATCAGGAAAACAGACCTGGCAAGCCGAAAATGTTGTTCGGGTGTGGTGTGGGGAAACTCTTGTGTACTGGGTAAAACAACGTTACGGGTGGGTGGGTTTTGGTATTGCTTTTTTTTTTTCTTCTTTTTTTTTTTTCTTTCCTCTATCCCTGGTTTGTTGCCCAGGTGTGGTTATGTGACTGGCTGCATACATGTGTTCTCCAGTGAGTGTTGCTGCAGGAAGAGATACAGCCTGCAGTGGTTGTGAAGTAAGGGTGAAAAGGGAGTTGTCAGAGTAGAAAATTCTTCTAAAAAGCTCTGAAATGGATTAATGTGGTCAGCGTTGCAATCACCAGCATGCTCCCATGAGTAATCACTGCACTTTTTTTTTCTCTTTTTTTTTGAGAATTGGAAGTTGTTTTATCTGTATCATTAAGCAGAATTTAATTTTGTGTGTTTTTACACTGTTGATGTTCTACAAAGAGACAAAACTGATTAGCTTAGGTCATAGCTTTTGCCGGGAAACAGACTTAAAAATATTACTGCTTGACTGAAAACAGTGAGTGTATTTAGTAAAGAAGTATAATACTGTATGCCTTTTGTTAGACAAAAAGCAGGTAACCAAGTTATAGCTACCACTTTTCCTTGGGAAGTTTTTCTTCCACAGACCCTTTCTATTTTTTTTTTTTTTAATATAGAACAAAATATCAGAGAACTGTGGCAAGGGTTAATCCTGAATTTCAATTTTTCCTGTTCATATTATCATTGTAATCCTAGCCAGTTCAGGTACTATGATATGATTTCAAATGCCAGCTATTCACCTAGCTTGCTAGATTCAGAAATGCAAAGGTGAATACACCATAACATGAGACTGACTGTTCTGGGTTCCTCTTTGCCTGCTGAAGCAAACACAAAATGAGTCTGTCATGAAAAAGCACTCATAAAATACAGGTTGTAGATACAGCAGAGTGTGGCAGCTGGTTAAAGGTGCACTGCTGGCTGCCTGGCTAGAAAGTATTTTCCAGGAATCCAGTGTACTACTGTTCCTAATATTTCTCCTGAGTTATTTGGCTTGAAATATTGGAGGAACTGGGAAAAAATTATGAACAGGGTTCTGAGAACTGTTTGGGGTTAAAAAGGCATGTGCAACTTTGGGGGACTCCATTAAGATGATGTCACAGTGAACGAGTAAGAATTCAGTTATGCGTGTGATAAAATGGAACTAGTATCTTCTTTTCTTTTCCACCCAGCATTGCATAAAATACGTTAAAAGTATATCAGATTCTGTTTTCATTCTTTAAAAAAATAGAAAGGAAAAAGAAAAAAGAAAAAACGTACAAGGTCTCTTTTCTAACCCTGAACTGAATAATATTTTGCACCAAGATAAAATGTATGGTTTGAAATTAGACTTCTACCCATAACTGATCAGGAAGGACAATTAGTGATGTAATTAAGCATGAGTTACCCGATGTTTAGTCTAGGCATAAATTTGTTCTTGATTCCTAGGGTGGTTACCTTATGGTTATTTTAATCATATTAATTATCTTTCCTTTTATTTGACCTAACTGATTCATGTAGATTCATAGGGACCGTGGCGTTATCTTTGGATACCTAAGATGTGCATCTGCCATTTGTTTCAGTACAAATGAACAGCACACACACTAATCTCCCCTGTTTTCTTGATCACTAAAAGTACTGTTGATATTGTGCAGCCACAAGGAGGCAGAGAGGGGAAAACTTGTAAATGTCTATAGTATTCTTATTTCCATTCCAGATCAAACAATAAGCCAGAAACATTCTCTTCTGTGTATCATTTCCTGTATATTGTTCACTTAAAACAAGGCATGGAGGAACGTGGGTGAAAGGGCAGCTCATCTTTCTGTTGCAAAATGTTACCTCTGCCTGTTTAAAAGCTGCTTTATAAACAGAATTATGTTGGCTCTTGCAAAATTAATGTGGCATAGTACTAGTGTAACATTTATTAATTTTGCACATGTGGAATGAAAATAATCTTTTTTCTTTTGCAGCTTCCCTCTTTCCTCTCTTTCCCAATGCGTGCAAAATCTTGATCTTAGCCTTTAAAGAAAATTCTTCAAAAATTATTTCTCCTCTTTCGCTTCTTCAAAGTCTTTTAAATTTCTAGGAAAGACTAAAGTAGATGTGAATTGCACTCTGCCACGATAGCATACTTGGATGACCTTACTCTCCTTCAGAATAATGCTTTGCACAAAACTAAACACTGTGTAACCATTAAGCGTGAGACTTTATCCCCTGCTTTCACCGTGACGTTTTATGTTGAAAGCAGTAACTCACTGTCAATAAAAACAAAGATGTGACTTTCTTCAGAAATTGCTCTGTGTGGGGACCTGACTCATAGTTCCTGCCACCGTGAAGTCACTGATTTCAGCTCTTGCCATGTCGCAGGGTGTATGGTCAGGTCACTTACATCCAGATCCTGAGAGGGATTTAGGCCCTGGTTTTGGTTGGTTTGGGGTAGGTATGGGTACCAAATAACAGATACCAATGTATCTCAGCCTCTTGTATGGCTCATTTTCCTGTCTGTAAAATGTGTGTATATTAGTGTTTCCCTACCTCACAGGGGTGTTGTGAGGATAAATGTATAAGAAATTGCCACTCTATATTTGAGATAACTGAATTAAGCAGGAAACTACGGGCATGGACCCTATCAGTGGAAAAATTGCTGAAGGTGCATAGAGGAGCTGGAAGTTGAAGAATGATGCTAGAGGCTTCCTATCTGTGTAGTAATGAGCAGATTCTTGCTTTGTTCTCTTCTAGCTGTGACAGCCCAACATGACAACTGGATTTGATGCCATTACTGCTACGTATTGTGCAGAGCAAAATAGGAGTTTAGTTTTGAGCCCCCTCTCCTGTGAAACTCGTAAAGTCCCTTTTTTTTAACACTTACTTTGTTAAGTAGGGGGTACTTCCTTCTCCCCACTACCAAAATGTCTGTGAGTTCTGGTCCCAAATTAGATCAGTCCAACCTGATACGTCTTCTTTGCCTCTTTACCATACTTAATCACCAGTGAGTGCACCCTGTTCCTCAGCTAGGAACAGACTTCTTTGTGGGACTCTGATTAAAAGGAGAAAGAGTAGGTTATGGAGATAACGTTTACTCAAGTGATCAATATTTACCTGCTTTCTATGAACCGTTTGGGGGAAAGAAGATTCCTCAGTTGTTGTTGAATGCTCAGTGTATGCCAATTAGCTCTCCTTTTTCCTTCTCTCACTGTCTTAGTGGATGCTGTTAAAATGTTTGAATTATGACTTGATGAAAAGTCTGAGACACTGTCTCAGGCTACCCATGCAGGAACTTCTGTCTGTTCATAAGCTATCCCTCTTTTTCCATATATTTTTGAAAGAAGTGGGATAGCTAACAAAGTTGATGTTTAAGTTTTCATCATTGAGTTTTATAGCTGACCTGTTCACTGAGATGAGTGAGGCTATCAGAAAGTCTTAGAGCCATTTTGCAGGCGCACTTCAGAGCATTGGTTATCAATGTGAAAGTTATGTCTGCAGCATTGCCTACCAGAGACTCCAGATCTTTTAAAGTCTTCTGTAGCTTCCAAAGCAAAATGGAAGTATTGCTCATCCTAAGGCAATTTGTAATTCTGCGTTTTTTGTAATCAGGTGTTGTTATATTTGTAGTTGAAGGAGTATATTAAAAAAACTGGGGAGTATTTATGGAGATGACTGTGGTAAAAATTTTAGTCTGCTATTGCTAATTAGGGCCAGAATCATTTGGGCTGTTGTTCTCGAAATGTATCAGAAAGCACTTTCCTATCCAGAGACAAATTCCTCATGGCATATATTAAAAGTACACAAATCTTAAAGAAAAAAGAAAAGAAAGAAAGAAAAAAAGGCTTTTCTTTTAGACGTATGCAAATTATGTTTGGATGGTGATGGTTTGTGAAACACTTTAAAAATTCTTTCCCATGATGTCTTTTTCTTAGGGTATGTACATTAAATCAACATATGATGGTCTCCATGTAATTACTGGAACAACAGAAAATGTAAGTATTGTTAATACTGTATGTTCAGGCCTGGAAGCCTTTTTGACCTTACCTGTGGTTTATGCTTTCCCTTTGCTATAGACTACATTTTGCTTGCAAAAGTGTGCTAGTTGGCTGTTGAGGACCTATGGCATGTTGGACAGCAGAAATGCTTGTGCTTGTTTACCTCAGAATGGAAAGAGTTGTTCCTAGTTGAGGGCCAGGGGAATCAGTTTTGATTTGTTCTTGCAAAACACCTAAAATGCTGCAGAAGATAGGAAGTAGCTGCCTTGGAATTACCTTGCTCTGTGAGTAAAAGATAAATGTCTTTATTATGTATAGGCTGATATGCTGGAGTTTGCTGCAGTATTAGACAAACAGCTTTTATATTTTCCATCTCTCAAGCTTTATTTTGTAATAAATAAATGCATGGAAATGAGGACATCCTTTCACATTGACAAATAACCATATATTTCTGCATGAACTTCTGAGTAATGCTTATAGAAAGGAACACTTATTACCAGTGTACTAATTCTCACTGAAGGTATTAAACAGCAAGCAAAACGTAATAGACTACTTTTCAACAGCTTTGAAATACAACCTCCTTTCCCTGTACACCATATTTAGAGAACTGGCTGTCTTTTAGGAAGTGAGCAAAATGATCATTTTGGGGGGAAAGGCTTCTATCCGCAATCTTCAGTGAACATGGAACAAGCCACTAAATAACACTGAACTGTTCCATGATGGTTTAGGCAATTCCTTTCAAAGATTTTGATGGCATTTTCTTAAAATGAAGCTGTCAGAAATGTTTGTTTTACCCTGCTACTGTGTCATACTGTGGAAAGTGCAAACTACCTACATGGTATTTACAGCTGCTGCCTCCAATCTGCAGTGAGGTTCTGTTAACATCTCAATAAAATAGGAATATTATTTTCATCCCTTCCTAGGAACTGCAATCTGATAGACTTTCGTCTTTCTTTTTTCTTCTGCTGCGGGCAGGATATCCATGAGTTATACCCAATAGATAATATCTGTTGTAGAACTTCTGTGAAGGCCACCTGTCTCAGAATAAGGAAAATATAAGGAATTTCAACCTTGAAATCAAAATTCTAGGGAGTCAGACCTGCAGCTACAGATATCATCTGTGACATTAGCAAAACCAAATGAAAACAACAGAGCCATAGCTGAGCTTAATCTAGAAAACATATGAAAGAAGGAGGGTGGTTTTTACAGTTGAATTTCTCTCAGATTAAAAAAGGGAACCATTTCTCTCCATGACTTACTAATATGGGATTTAATTTCCCAGAGGCAAAGATAAAAATAAAATCTTAATGCATTCCCTCAAAACTCTTATCTTTTGTGATTCATGGATATAATTTAAAGCCACATCAGGAAGCTTCAGTCGTGATGACTTTTCTGCTTTCGTTACTGACTCTTTCACTCACTGTAGCACCCTGGAGGTGCTCACAGTAGACCGAGAAACTGCAGTCTGCTATCTAGGGAAAAACCTGTTGTGTGTTAATGTGTTTGTGAAAATGAGTAACGCCTTAGAGAAAGTAAGGTGTCTCCTGCTTTTAAACACACAGTTGCTAGCTGCTTGCTTTAACAAACAAACAAAGGTATGATTCTGATAGATGGGAGGAGAAACATCTAAGCAGCCTGGCCAGAGCAAGGTCATGATGGTGCAGGTGTGATCTGATCTGTTGATGTTGACATGTTTACTATTTGTGATACAATTTAACTTCTAGGAAACAGTGAGAATCCAAATTCTCTTCCCTTTGAACAAAATTTTGTGGCTGCCTTCTTTCCAATTCTGCTCCTCCAAGTGAGATATTGGCACAACTTTTTGTCTGCCACTTTCCTGAAAGATCACAGAGAAGCACTTGTCTTTTTAATAAACACAGTAGCATGGCAGTGCTAGCCGTATTAGTGTAACGTAGTAGTTTTTGTAACCACAGTTCTGTTTTTTCTGTTTGCCATTCGAGGTGTTTGATGTCCAGCTACAAAGCGCATCAGAGTTTGGATCTTGCTGTTCAGCATTAGGAGTCATCTCTCCGAACACATCAGCCCTGCAGTTCAAAGCAGCTGAAACTTGAACTGTGAGAGAAAAGGGTTCCTCACAGGTCACTGCCCCATAAGAGCTTCTCGCTGGTGGTCCTGTAGCATTAGAGCAAGCTGAGCTTTCTGGTTCACGTCTTCTCTCTTTTGTTTGGAAGTAACAAATCTAAAGGGTGTATTGGTCCAGCAAGAGATTACAGCTTTCTTGTTGAGTAGTCCTTTTAGACCATGTCGGAGAGATTCTTTTAATTCACAAGACAAATGTATTCTTCAAATGAGACCATTTTGTAATTTGGTTTTCCAATAGAAAATAGTATTTTCTACAGTAATAGCATGTGGTGCATCTCCAACAGGAATGTGACTTTGAAGGGGGTGCTCCCAGTATCCCCACTTCCTGTGCACTGGTTGAGTTCACAAGTTGCTCTTAGATCTCAGGGAAGAGAGGCCTTTCAGAAGAAATAACAGAAATAACACGAAAATCTCCACTCTGGGCATGCAACAAATGTGTTCCAAGGGGTCTAGACTGGTCTTTCAGACAGTGTGGGTATACTGGGGGAATGGGACAAAGACAACATTTAGCCTAAAGGACAAAACTAAATCTATTCTGAAGAATGAATCCTAAGCAGATTCTGAATACCTTGTATGGTATCGATGTGTGAGCCTCAGTGACAGGTACTTCCACCTGTTGTTCAACTCCCTGTTGGACCGGATTACCAGCTAATGAAGATATAGCTGTGATGTGACACACTTTTTTCCTCCTAGTAGGACCTCTTGAATGGATGTTTTGCTTAATGATCAGCATATACATCTAAAAAAAGGAGGAGTTTATCAGTTCTCCTCTGTTTTCCTTAAATAGTGATGATGAAAGATACTATTTCTTTACAGCAAGGTCTGTATTCTTTACTTGGGAGGAAAAAGCGGTAAGGAACAAGAGTTGCAACCTCTTCATGGGACCACAGCCTTGAGACTCCTGTATAAATGATTTTTACCTCACCTTGCAGTGTGTTCGAGGCATAATTGCAATGAGTTTTTTTAAAGTAGACTTTTCCAGTTTGAAGATTCTCAGACCATATTTACTGGCTTGGCAAACTGCTACACAAAATACCTGTTTTGTCAAGATTTAAGCTGCAAGTGCTGAAGTCAATACAGGAGAAAGTTTGTATCGTAATACAGTCCTGTAGAGTTCAAGGGTAATGACACAAGATTCACTTGCATTGACATTTTGAAAGTCTTAGGTGTAACTACATCTAAGCTAAAATAGCAGTATTACATAGGAGGATTATAAGATTGTTAGAGGTATGAATGAGTAAGTGTGAGTGGTGAAATGGCAGGCAGAAGATAGATCGTTAGAACATAATCACCAGTGTTAAAATTTTTCTCGAAGTCACTCAGCCAACATCTTTAATGCTGAAATAGTGCCAAAAAGTCAAGGCTGCTGTTCTTCATGTGAGTAAAATTACACTTTTACCAGCTCAGCTTGATTTAGGATGTTCTGAGCAATGTCTCCTAGGACTGAGTCATGATTGACCCTTCTTTCAGCCTCATGTTGCTCTTGGATATCTTCCATTTAAACACTGTCTTTAACTTAGGTCATGAATTATGTGGAATTGTACTAGAAAGTCATGGCGTAGCTATGGGACATACATTTTGAATGGGAATGTGGTACATAGGTTATTACAAACAGTCCACATTTAAGGCCTGAAGCATATTCTCTAGACAACGTGTTACCTCACCTGAGAATGAATTTAATTTCATTCCTTTCTGTAAAATTCATAGTAGCTTTTCGGAAACCTGCTCCTGAGCAACTCGTTTTTTTTCAAACTGTCGGTCTCACCTTCTACCTTTAACTTGATTAAGTGCCTTCATAGGCTGGCAGCCACAGTATTGAGAGAAAAATCAAAGTGTTGTCACTCTATGAAAAGCTGAAGGAACTTCTTTTCCTCTAAACATAGGGGTATTTCCCTCAGAAAACGGTTGTTCTACTGTAAATATAGAAGGCAGAAGAAGGGAAAGTTTTGGGGGGATGTTGCTTTATGGGGGAGGGTTGGGTTTTTTTGTTGTGGGGTTTTTAGTTTGGATTTTTTTTGTTGTTGTTGTTGTCGGGGTGTTTTTTTGAGGCAAAAGGAAAGAAGAAAGCTACTTTGCTTTTTGGAAGTGTGATCCTTGTAGGATTTTGATACGGGTTGCATTTCTGTCACCCTGATAATGACCCAGAAACTAAGTTACAATGTAATTTATATGATCTTCCTAGCTGGTACCTAACCTAATCCTCTCTCCTTGTGTACTCTTTGAAGAACAGTACTTTACTGAAGTTCTCTGCAACATATTGAAACATTGTAGAATAAAAAGGCCATATTATAGCATTTGTTCATGAGGAATTGCCAATTAGTCTTGATAGGTTCAAAATTCAGCCAAAGTTTGGCTTTCAAGCCTTAAGAGATGTCAGGCAGATTAAAGCACTCTTTTGGCAGAATGAAATTTAAAAAAAATCCTTAGGACTCTGTTACCCGTTAATAAAAAAATATTCATACTTTTCTTAACATTTGATTGTATTGTATACAATAGTACAGATTATTTTTCTCCAACAACAATGAATTGATTTACTAAATATTTCTTTAATTCTTTATTTCACAGTAGAATGTCATTATCAATCTAACCTGATTTACACAGCTTAGCAATCATACTGCTGAAAGAGAGATGATGACCAGTAAGAACTGTATTCTTTATCATCTCTTTTATTTTAAATTCAGTCACCTGCAGATCGGTGCAAGAAAATCCATGCTGGGGATGAAGTGATTCAAGTTAACCACCAAACTGTGGTATGTATAACTATGTTCTGTGTCAATTGGAGATAGAGGTGTCATGGCACATCAGCATGTGTAGAGAAGAAATGTGTAGAAAAATGTGTTTTTATAAATCGGTATTTATTCTAACATCTAAATTTTCCTTTTCACTTCTGAAACCGCATAGTTCTTAAGTTCAGCCCCGATCCTCTGAGTATCACTGGAGGTATCAAGTTAGGCTAAATAGCTGTGGCTGGGGAGATATGTTAGGGTGTTTTCTGCTTACCCATGCTCTATTAGTGAACAGTTGGTTTTAGTGTAATAGAAGGTTTGGGTTGAAGGGATGCAGGGAGTTGGAACTGTTGTGCCCTTGTGGGTTTAAGATCAAGATTACTTCCTGGAAGCTGGAAAACTTACTACTTTCCAAACCTACTGGAACATGTAGAACATGGTTTTCAAGAACAAAAGCACGTAAAATTCCCATAGTGTGCCTAGGGTGTTTAGCTTAATTTAAATACAGACTTTTAAACTTGGAAGGTTAAGATGAAACAAATCTTTCAGATATGATAGGCGAGAAAACTAATACCATGCAAATTGCTCTTTGTGTGAACAGATGCATGTTAGTTCCTGGTGGTTTTATTTAGGATTGGTGAACTGTTAAAATAAAATTAACCTTTTCTAAGGTAAGGCTTGGTAACAGAAAAGAGCAGACTGTCAGTACAGAAAGCAATTATTCTTTTTCCAAAGTATAAGGTTTCTTAAGACTAGTGAAAGTCAATATATGGTATTAATTGCATGTGTCCTTGCAAGCAATTTAACTGACAAAAAAATACCCTAGGTCGCCATTATTAATACAGCAGTTGTTTGTTAAAAGTGTGTTTTGTCATTCCCCATGGGGTTCCACTTCTAGCTTTAGGCCATTGTTCATCATGTCAGGTCCTCTGCACAAATTAGTGTAATATTTCAGTATACCCTCCAGCTAAGTTTGATATCAAATATACTGTACATACGTGGAACTTAACTGATGAGAAGCTATCTTTGGAGCTATGCAATGTAATTTGATAATCCTAAGCAGATGAGGGTGAATTTTAATACTTTTTTTGGCTATATAGATTCTTTATAAGTATTGTATCCCATGATTACTTACATGTACTAATTTCTTTATTTTTCTGGACTAAGAAAGCTTATGACATCAATTTAATATGAAAAACATTTTAGAACGTTATTGTTTTGGCTATCAAAATGTATACACATCTGAAGAAGCACATCAACAAGCATTCAGTCCTTATGCTAGCTAGTTTTTCCAACAAATTCTGATGGTGCTATATAGCAAAGTTGCCTTGTCAACTTGAAAATTTCCGATCAACTAAGTATTTATTCTAGTTTTCTTGGCACATCTGCACTGCATTTATTTGATGGAAAGATCAGATTCTTACTCCTAACACTGATAATAAAAACCTTTTGACAAGCCTTAAGATGAGCTTTCTTACCTAGTTAGATGGAATTTTGAATGTAGGATTTGGGTGTTTTGGCTTTTGCATCAGTGAAGCTAGGTCTTTTGAGATGTACAGAAAAAAAAGAGTAGATTGTAGTTCTGGGAAAAAGGACCATAGGGAGCTAAGACAAACAATGTAATTTTCCAGCAGTAACATTTAGTGTAGAGGATATGTATAGTAATACACTAAATCACACATTTACATATGCTCTTGCTTTGTTGTATAAACAATATAATTAAAATAATTGGCATCTTTGATATTGTATACAAGTAACCTCCTTGTATTTTAATGTTGCCTTTCCACAACGAGAGTCAGCTAGCATTCTCTTAGAAATGTGATAGCACCTCCCATGTTACCTTTACAAATGTGCACTTCATTCACTTTCCAATTTGTAGAGCCCAAATATTTGATCTTTTCTATAGGTATTGCCGCATTTTTTTATCTTTTTATTTCTTTTGGCAAGAACCTAAGTTAGTCCTTTTGTACTCTGGTCCCTGTCATAAGGAATTTACTGTTCAGTTCTAGGAATCTGTTTTTTTTCTGGGGAGAAGAGGTATTCTTACTTACAGTGATTCTTACTTGGGAGATAAAGAATTCTGAAGATACTACATTTTGTCTTTTCTGTTTATTGAATTTTTTCACACTTCATATACTGCTCAGCAGTTGAAAACACAAGATCTGTTTTTCAACTTGCTCCTTGTAACTTGTCATACGTTATCACTCATATTGACTGTAGAAAGAACTATGACTAAATTTTTTAAGGATGTAACTCTAAAACTGTAGGGAAGTGTTGTTCACATGTAACTGTTGTTTAGGTGCTGTCTCGTAACTGGGAATCAAAATCTTAAAAAAAATCTAACTTTAAATTTAAATTTATTTTAGAGATAAAACTTTTTTTCTGTATTTTCTTCAATTATTTCAGTGTATTCTGTTTGTCAAAATGAAGTTAATCTCTGGCTTTCAGTACTATATCTTTCAAAGAATGAATATAAATATGGGGAAGAGAAATTCCACACAATGAGCCGAACATGAAATTCCGAATATCTGCCAGCAGTGTGCCCAGGCG